TATTTTCATGTTGTTCAATTATATCTGAAATTGCGCAGATGTTTATGGTGATATATCTACCTTTGATGTGTCCTGTCTGATCTCGCTCTATCAAGTGAGGAAGAACCTTCTGTAAACACCTTGCGATACATTTGGTTGCTAATTTATAATCTACATTTAAAAGAGTGATAGGGTGCCAGTTTTTAAGCAGTAAAGGATCTTTATTCTTTTTTGGGATCAAGGAGATGATTCCCTGTCTCTGAGAGATGGAGAGTTCACCGACTAAGGCACTGTGATTGAGGCAGTTGATCAAAGGGCAAGAAATAACGTTCCAAAAACGAAGATAAAACTCAGTGGATAAAACCATCCGTGCCCAGAGTTTTATTTTGCTGAAAACTTTTAAGCACAGCGAGGCATTCTTCTGCGGTAATCGGACCTTCACAAAGATTTTGTTTTTCATTATCGAGTTTTGCTGGTACCATATCGCTTTCCTGGAAATTTGTCAGAAAACTCCCGCAAAATCGGCGTTTTTTACCAATAGTTTTTTGATTTGTCACTGAAAATCCCACGAAATTTGACTTTTCCACAACCTACTAGAAGCACTGTTTTAAAAGGCTGTCCGAGTAAGAAATGAGCACTCAATTTTCAGCCGAAAAGAGAATTTCTTCAAATTTTCTGTGCAAGACAATTAGTCCACATGATAAACAATAATAGCAATAATTTGGCTTTTAATGCTATTTTTCAATATTTCTGGCGACGAGTCTCAAGGACAGTCCAAAACCGTTAAAATCATTCTTTTCCGAGTCACATCTAGATGTTGCACTGAAGGCGCTGAAAAATTACGCTTTAACTCAAATACAATAAAACTTATAGATGGTTTTATTTCATGTTTAAACCCTTGATTAACCTTAAAATATTGGAAATCAGGCTTTAGAAACTAATTGTGATTTTTTGAAAATGCCCTACAAAGAGCCTTCAAAAAATTTAAGCGGACATGCTGCTGGTTAAAGGAGTGTTTCTCAAAAGTATAACGTGATCTGGTGCCCTGACCAATATCCATGTTTAGTACCAAGGCTAGTGTGTAGTCGAACCTCGATTATCCGGACTCGATGGGACTAGACGAAATAGTCTGGATAATTGAAAATATGAATATTAGTGAAGAACAAAACTGTTTAAATAAAGCAACATTTAATCGTGAAACAACACTTTTACAAATCGTTTGGAAAACAATATGGTGTACTGTACATCTTGAACCACTCAACTCTGAGCCAATCAGAACTCATTTGAGTGTTCTTCATCAGTTACGGCGCGTGCGAGCACTGCTTTTGCTCTTTAAAAACAAAACAAACTCACTTTTGACTGCACGTTTCAATGCTGCAGTTGTAAAAAGAATATTGCTACAGATCTTGATCATGGCTAATAAATATTCACGACAAAATTGGCACTAGAGAAAAAGTCCGGATAATCGAGAAATCCGGATAATCGAGGTACGAGGTAATCAAGGTTCCGCTGTACCGGGAACAGGAAAAAAAACTTTAGGCACTAACCTTTTTGAACTACAGGAGTTCGATCAGCATAGCTAATATTCAGCTGCGAAAGCGTGCAAGTGACACAATTTTGCACCTCTTATTGTTCCTAAGTTTCCCACATAAAATTTTAAGTTTCCTGCAAAAAGTAATATTACCTTGAAGCAGATATTCTCAAAACGTGCTCTTTGCTCGGTATAAGGCAATGAATAACCTTAAGTTGGCAAGATTTCCGTGTAACCCCATACATTTATTATGCATACAGTTCTTTGTTTAACTAATCAATAGTGAAAAAATACCATATTCAACATA